TATACTTCTTGGTTATTTCATTTATCTTGGAAACAGCCATGTAACACTTTACTCTTAACATCTAATACTTTGTTCTTACTCACCTTTGTTTGACAGCCCATACGCGCATATGGACAGGAAATTATACTTAATGGACATTCGTCTTCAGTGTGAGTTGAAACCTGAATCACATAAAACAAATGAATAAACTCACGAACGAAAGGGATAGAAATATTCGTTGAATATATTTTGCAAAATTAAACGTATCTAACGTTTGTAACCATGGTTGTTGCGCGTATCTTTTAGAGGTAGGGCAGCGTAGTTTTCAAAACAATCTGCAATTTCAAATAAGTTTTATCATTTTAAATCGCTGGGATTAACTTGATTTAATTTCCAACGCAAATCGGACAAATTTGAAATCTTAGCTTGTAGCACTTTCACCACATTTGTGGCATATGGTGATCAAATTCATTTTGAAGATACTAACAAATTGATGAACAACGCATAAATCTTTCTATATTTGAATTTGTTTCTTTCGAAGCTGAAAGAAAAATTTGTCTATTGGCTTACGAGCTCTTGATTACTTCATTTACTGTATTAAAATTTTCCACGAGTAAATCCTATAGGTCACTTAATGATACGCTAGATCGTGGCAGTTTAAGCAATTCACTCAATTGTGATATGTAGTTCTGGTTTTTGCTTCTGGGGTGGAAATTTTCCATCAATTACTCGTTGAGAAGGTGTTGATAGCGGTAGATGTCCATCACTGTTTCATCAAACCTCGAAAAGTTATATAACAGACAGCGTTAACCATTGTAATGAGTGAAAATTGATTTGACAAAATATTTAATGCTCTCAATGATGCCCTATTGAAGGATTTAAACTATGGGTGGGAGGGATAGTGAATATTAAGAATAAGAAATGTATTCAAACGGAATACGCAAAAGAAATAAGAAGTCTCACCATTCTTCTAGGAATTGAACGACCACAACTGTTTGGACAAGTTACTGGGAACCCGCTGCACTTTTGGATATGATCCTAATAACGAAAAATTCCACGAATTGCAGTAAGGAATCTGGAAATATTCCTTCATTTAAGCGTTAGTTTTTTCATTTCACTGCAGAAACCTAATTCATAGTTCAGCCCCACTTTTGTTTTATTTTTGCATCTACAAAAATCCATTAGATCTATAGGAATATGCAGGAAGTAAAGGGTAACCTAAAGCACTTTTGTTTTTCGGAAACAGAATGATTTGTTAGCAATTTTGATTATACTGTTAAATTTTTCAGAGACAGAATTTTGGTTTGAAATTTTCCTTGTCTTAAGGTGTAGTGTTTTCACCGTTTAATTGACGATCTTACCAGCATTTGGCATTCTGGGTGGGGCTCGCTACAGTATTCACAGTAAAGGATTCTCCAGGGACACTCAGAAAGTTGGTGTTGTTCAAGATGTTTTCTTTGCACTTTTGCTCCACAGGAAAAATGGTCACACGCCAAGAGCATGAAAGAACATGATTCTAGGTGAACCTATCAAACGAATAAAATAAAACCAGAGAAGGCGATTTCCATAGCTTATTTTGTGAAAATCCTACCACAGCGCATGGATAATGGATAAATAGCTACATATTTCTGATAATTAGTGGAATTTGTATTAGTAAAGCTACCTCCTTGTTCCTCAGTTCCCCAGTCCATCCACAGCCGTCACTTGGACATTTGATTATCAATGAAAGAATTTTCCTTTCTGTAGCTTTGTCGGGAAAAACATCCTGCAATATATATTACGATAGCGATTTTTTACAAGACCTCTAACTTTGTGGAGTGTAAAATAAATATGACCCGTCAAGTGATCGATGATAGTGATGAAGAACTCTATTAATCTGTCTGGTTGCTTGGAAGTTCTGCCAGGGTCATCACTAATATTAAAAGCTGGCATGCATATCGCATTAAGCATACTCACAATTATAACAGTGTAATAAAAGTCTGTCCTGATATGAGGATCTCAGCCGAACAAGATACCATGGAAATGCAAGACGGTCATTGTTATGAACTTCAGAAGGAGATTATTTACCCGGTCTTGGTCCAGACTCTGTCTGTCTGCCGGACAAATTATAGACTGACCTTCCCTTCGATGCCTGTTGGTGGTCGGAAAATAGGAAGAAAATTTCAGATAGTTAAAAATCTTTGATCCTTACTTCGTGTTGCTACAGCAAATGTTCTGCTGATACACCATTATTTACTTTAGGTTTACAATTTACATTTTCTTCTTTACTCATAGCTATCCATTACTGACTTAAAGGAAATACATAAACAATGACGATTTCAACACCAAAACTGATAAAATGGCATTGATATTTGGGGTTATATTTTCAACGGGGCTTCCAACCTCACTGTCTTCTGCAAATATTCTTCTTAGCACCTTTAACTGTACTCTTACTTTGAATGCTTTATTGTCAATGGTACTTTCTCCCTCTTAAACCCAATTAATTTGAAAGCAATAGAGAAATAAAGTCAAAACTACACTTAAAAAAGACATAAAAAACACCGATGGTTAAAAGAACTACTAACTTTTGACCAAAAGCAGCAACGACAAAGCAAACAAAGCGAAAATAAAAATAAATAAAATTGATGAAGAAATAAAAAGGAAAGCATAAACAAATGATTCAAAGAAAAATTATCTTCATGAACGAGAATAATAAGAAAGAATCTTCAACAACAAAGATGCAAAATCACATTAACCCTTTACCTCCCATAAGTGACCAAGACAGAATTTCTCCTTACAGTACTAATAAAATATAAAGCAGACAAGTAACGAGAATAAAAAGAAATATCAGTTAGAAGATCATTAGTTGATCCAATTCCAAATTCTCAAAACTAACATCACGAGAACTATATGGCAGACAGTACGGAAAATTACTGATGAGATCTTGGGAGTTAAAGGGTTAAAGAATAAGTCTCACCTTTAAAAAAAAAAAAACTTATGGAATATAAACGTGAAAAGAAAGATACTGGATCATTTGTACCCAGATCCCATCCAAAACGGTCGTTTGTCACGATTTTTCTGGGGTAAAACATGGTTAGGTCAAACTTATTTCGCAAGGTATTTAATATGCCTATCAATGTTTTTGTTTGATGCAATGCAAATGAATTTCAGAGTATTCTATCGTGTGGCGCGATATAATGCTAGGGAATAAATTATGGCCTCGATTGTGGAACTGCACAGAATTTGCTTTTTTAGCAACTCCACTGCTTTGTTTAAACCTGAACTTCATCTTATAAGATATCATTGGATGTTATGCGTAAGATCAGGCAAATGAAAATACTTTCAACAACTCAGTCAAAAGACAAAGTTATAAGCTAGGTGTCTTTGAGTAATGGTTGTCGTTTTAAACACTGGCTCAATACACTTATAGTCACGGAAGAGTCATTCGATCTATAAATAACAAAACCGACGTGTTGTTAGCAGTTGCTAGCATTCGACCTGAATGATTTCAAAATATAAGACGACAGCGCCGTACATTGCGCAATTAGTTCATATGATTTCCATTTTCGATTGTAAGAGTTATAACTCTTTTGACAGAGAGTATTTCCTCAAATAATGCGGAAAATATCTCGCGTCACGTACTCGACGAAGTTCAAGGCATATTTCATAATGGGCTAATTAGGATTATATAAATTCAGCGCCACGTCAGAAATACCAAGCTTATTCTATTTTGTGAAACGAAACGAAACGTAACGAAACCAGGCAAGATGTAACGAAACTAAAGGAATAATGCAGCGATATTTCCTTATAAGGTAAAGGTAGCTTTCACAAGGATTTTGGAGTAATCGTCAATTGATATGAAGGATTTTTCTTCATTTCGCAAAATAGTAATTTTTGAAGAGTTACTATTTTGCGAATTCGACTATTTCACCCTTCGGTGACAACGTGACCTCTTTCATGTTACAAAAATACATCTAAATAATACAAATTGGTATATCACCAAAGATTTTGGTCTCTTTTTATTCTTATATCGCCAATTAGTAATTTTAGGTGAGATACTACTCTGCCGCATGGACTATTAGTCGATTTTGCAAAATAGTAACTTTTCGACGCCGTACATTGCGTAGTTAGTCCATTTGATTTCCGCTTTCGTAAGAGTTTTAACTCTTTGGAAAGAGAGTATTTCCTCAAATAGTGCGAAAAATGTATCGTGTCGCGCAACCCGAGAAAGCTAGAGGAATATTTTACAATTTCATGTTTCAATTAGGACTATAAATTCAGCGCCACGTAGGATCCATTATCGGAACGATTTTGTTTATCATAACTTCTACCTTCTAATGTATTCCTCAAGGCAATCTTTGCAAAATCTGTGGCCACATCTCGTTTGAATTGGCTCTTTAAGGGGTAAATGACATATCAAACATTGCAAATCTTCATCAACGGCTTCCACAAAGTCCTCGTCATAGCCTGCTGGGCGGTGTTCATCTGTTGTGGATTCCGCCATGATGAAAACTATTGGTATGCAAATCAGACAATGAGCTTTCAAAATGCACGTCGATTTGACCTTTGATACAAATTGTTGATGTAACGAATCATATAGGATCTCCTGACCACTGAATTCACGCAAAATCTGCTTTTGTCATGCAATCGTTGTAACGTGCTCCTCTTGACCAACATAACAACACAGAACACCTTTCCAGTCAGCAAATCTGCATGTTTATTTTTATCAGTTCCTGGTTTCAGGTTTGCACATAACTTAGCTGAGCAGAATATTATCTGTTTTAACTTTTTTCGAAAAAGTTAACATAGCTCAGTGAGATGACAGCTCACAAAGGAGGACATAAGTGTCTATGCTTTTATCGATCGGGCGATGTGGACTAAAAAAGGATTTCCTAATGCTTCTCATTAATCTAAACGTTTAATTAGGCGGCATTAAAATATCTCGTGGGTTAATATTCTTCCTCGCAGTGTCATGAACTCTTTTTTATGCGTGATATTTGAAAGGTGTTATTGGTGGATCGGAAGCGGGAGTAACCGAACTGAAAGCTGGACGCGTTGAAATTGCCATGTTGATTTCCGCCAATCAGAAGTTTGCTACTCAGGTAGTTATGAACACTACTTAAGCAGTAGTGAAAATAAAGTCTTAAAAAGTTAGGCAGGTATCGGATTTGAACCTATGACCTCTGCGATAGCGGTGCAGTGCTCTACCAATTGAGCTAACGAGCCAATTAGGACTGATCATTTTTTCAGTCCCAGCCTATCGTAAGACATGTCAGTCGTTGATGTTCAGAAATTATATTGCTTACATTACAGTTTCTCGTGTTCCTGTGTTCAGTCAGTCTTGTACCAGTTGAGGCTAACCTTTTCCCAAAACTGACTAGTAAACAGCACGAAAACGAGGCAAAATTTTCCATCAGCACATGTCTAAAAGCAAATCGGCATCTGAGCCTTTGAAGGCATTAATTCATTATCTGATGAATCCCAATATGGTGAGTCTAAACTTTCTTGAACCTTTTCTGGTGGATTTCAGGTCGCATATTTGGGTGTTGTTTTTTCGCTTTCAGTCTAACGACCTTAGATACGAGAGTCTCAATGGGGTTGAAGGATTCCCTCAAACAAAAGGAAATTAAAAAAACCATAGACAAGACATGACAAGAAAATCAATCCATATCAGAGAACTTCTCGTATCCAGATTATAATCGTGTGGGGAATGGGCCAAACCCAAGATTGATTAATAAAAACGAGAATCATTATATTTGATTGTAATACCATATGTCTGTTAAGAGAACCCACAGTATACGGTCCTCAGAGCCCATTTTCATTGGTGCTGTAAAGCACGACTTTAGATTTCTTATCGTAAAAAAGCTTGTGGTTTTTCATCGTATTTAATCACACTTTCATCAAAAGAGAAAAATAATCGTTTATCTCACGATGTGGTCACTTCGGATGTGGATCGCTACTTCTTTCATTGCTTACTGCTTGTCTACTTTAAGCGATGAGGTCTGGATTGGGTACGCGTAACCTTTATGCTGTTGTGCATTACGATGCACAACAGCAACGAAGATTCTGTCATGCAGATAACATAACTAGACATACAGATAGTGAAAATCTCATGACAGAATTTTACATCAGCGAGTTTTCCTTCAAAATCGGTGCCGTTGTCAAGTTTTGCTTTCAAACGTATCGGAGAACGGTTTGAGTCTTCCTCAACAATTGCTTTTGCCAAAGTAAACGTGCGAACGACGTTCCGGCCCAACGAGACAATCGAAAAAAGGCTCGAATAAGAGTCATTGATGTATACAACGGAAAAAAAAAAACATATTTTAAGTTCGCCTAACCAGTGCAACGGACACGGGGTGTTGTGCACTGGAGTTCGGGGAGGTCCGGAGTGTCAAC